TCAGTGGAACTGCTCTTTATAGAAATGAAGAATGCATTTGCTCTGACTGTTCATAAAACTCAAGGTTTGACCTTGCCCCATGTAACGTTGAATGTTGACGAAAGTATGTTTGCTGAAGGGCAAGTGTATGTTGCGATGAGTCGAGCTCCCTCATCGGAAAAACTGCAAATCCTTGATTTTGATTATTCTCAATTAAAAATTTCCAGGGCAGCTTTGGAAGAGTATAAAATATTGGAGGCTGTGGGCATTGATGGGTTACAAAAACTAACAACGTTGCAAAAAAAGTATTCTTTGTAAAAAATTGAATGTAATTAAATCGTGATGTATTAAATTTTTAAAGTCCCGAAAAAATTTCACGCTGATGCTTGTGTAATGTGATGATTGCGAACTCTCCGCAACCTATTAAAATCTTGTTAGAAAAATCACAACATTATATTCGGCATTACTATTAACATTTTTTAATGCATTATTTATTCATTAAAAATATATTATGAGAATTAAATGTTTACAAATAATTCATTTTCATCATCAGGGTCAATATCACTATCAATATCATCAACATTGTTATCACTATCAATATCATCAACATTGTAATCACTATCATCATTATCGTCATCATCACTATCACCAATATCTTCATAATAATTTTTTTTTTTTTTTTAAACGATGCAGTACTGTTACACTGTTTATTAGAAAAATTTATATATGAGTTATTGCATGCGGAGCATGCAATAATGGAAAAATCAGGATGATTGCTGAGTTTAAAATAGTGGCACGTAAGTGACATTATTTTAACAACCATTCTCGATTTTTTAGTCAATTTTGACGTAATTATTGCATGCTTCTGTATTCAATAACTGGTTTATTGTATGTCCGACTATGAAACATTCCAAAATTTCCAGATGGAAATTTTGGAATGCCAGACATGCAATAATGGAAATTTTAGCATGTCACATTTCATAGGCAGACATACAATAAATTCAATTATTTGCAATGATCTGCAAGTGTCCCTATACTTTTGATCAGGAGTGTATATATATTAATAATAAGCACAGATTATACTTGTAAAAACAAGGTTTGTTTGTTATTATTATATTCACTCTCATTAATTCCGATGTATATAAGATCTATATGATCGCGTAACAATTTTTTATATTAATAATAAGCACAGATTATTGTAAAAGCTAAGGTTTGTTTGTTATATTCACTTTCATTAATTCCGATATATATAAGATCTATATGATCGTGTAACAATTTTATATTAATAATATGTATTGTATATATTCATAATTATTAAACAATAAATTAACTACTATTATAGTTGTTCACCTACTACTACTATATTTATATAAAAAATCTTGCACAGAAATATACAGAATTTTTCTGTAAAAGACCATGTCCATATGTTTTTACATGGAAAATATACAGGAAACATAGAAATGTATGAAAAACAGAAATTCTGTGTTTCTGTATATTCAATATATACAGAACCATTACATAAAGATCTGAATAATGGTTGATCTTCAATATATACAGAAAGGTCCTGAATAATAATTGATCTTCAATATATACATTGTACCAGTTTATTCCCAATCTATTTATTTCTAATGTTGGCAATTTCTGTTTACGAACCATTTATCTTCAAATTAATATATTAATTTGTAGTCATTTTTACCTAGTGAATTGATTCCATCACACCCAACTAAAATATCACCAAATCCTCTTGTTCCATTTTCTTCCAATTCATTTTTAACAAACTTTTTATTCCATTGTATGTCTAAAACTTGTAATAAAAAATATCTCATTTTATCTCTATAGGTGATAAAAATTGGATATTTGCGATCTTTTAACTCGGCAAATTCATACAAATTCTTGAATTTTTTAATAGGCGTTGAAACCAATGTATTTCCATCTTGATCCATAACTGTATCATAATGTTCTTCACCTTCTACTGGATTAGGAATAGCTGTTTGCAATTGATCAGACAGTTCTTTTGGAAGGCAATTTAAAAGTGATTTTATACCAGATGGTTTTGCTGCAATATGGTATCCTTGCCAACGGTCTACAGCATACAAATAATAAGACATAATTCATTAATTGATTAATTAATTATTATGTTTGTTAATTTAGCCAACCTTTAGGCCCTGTATCTCTCTCGGATAGTTTAACACTGAATTTTATTTTATTTTTACTATTATTTTTTAAAATTCCCTGGGCAAGCGCTAATCCGCCTACTCCACATCTAATCATTAACACGGTAGTCATTTTTAATTATGTATTTTGTTTTTAAAGCATAAGCTTTTAGTTCTTTTGTAAACGATGATATTTTCCTATATTTATATATTTTCAATGTTGCTAATTTAGAAAAGTATTGCATTTTTACTTTGTCATTATTCCCGTCAAGTAAATCTATTATTATTGATATTAAATGGCTAAACAGATAAAAATAGTAATGTTGGAGCTTTCTTCGTATGAGCAGAAATATAATCGTAATATGAAATGGTCGTAACGCATTTTTTATTTTTTATTATCACCTAATTTTAACTAAAAATGTATAATCCATTCCTTCAAAAAAATGTAATCTTCAAAACCGATTAAATAATTAAGATTTATGATACAATCACTGTCATTATCAGTACTGATTGCGCATTGTAAGTTACGGAAAAGTGTATTTTTTCCGTACCTTTTATACACATTGGTTTACTACTTGAATTCTGTATGTTTCATGGTAGTACCTTTTGCATCTGTTATTTTTTGTAGAGGGTGTCAAATCGTACCAGTTTCAAAGCTAGAACCAGCGCCTATCCAATTCAAAATTACAATTAATGGAATTTCTTTGAGTGTCGAAATTAACTTATTATTATTATTTTTAAAGATGTCCCTTTTTTCAAAAAGTAGGCTCCGTAGTTATGGTACGAGCAATACTATTAAAGAAAGCATGTATCATTTGAACAAGTCGATTTCTTTCAACAACTAATTTTCAAACAATAAAAACAATCAGCTAACTCGAGCATGAATAAGATATCGCCTTGAAGACTAATCCCTTTAGAATGCATCCAAAGCTTTTAAGTATGATAAATAGAAATGAAATTTTTCTGATGAAAATTTAAATTATTATTACACTACTTACATAAGTTTACATCGGCCTCATAATATTATGCAATTATATACTTTTTAAAAATTTATGAGCGTAATATTACGCGGAAAAATTTCCTGATGAGTGATTGATACTAAAGAATACGAAGAATTTGAAGAAATAATTGATAAATTAAGTGTTGAGATGGATAAATGTGAATTACTTGTTTATAACGATATTAGTATAATATGTTGGTTTTTGCGCCAATTTATGGGCACTTCTCAAAATTGCAGATGTTCCTACATGATTACATTGTACTATTATTGTTATAATTGACAAATGTGCCCGTTTTTTTAGTACAAGACAGTAATTTAACTTTTCTTTCATCCATCGAAAAATAAATGCATCTAAAATCTGAAGAAATATATTGCTGTTTCTAGAAGGTCTGCAGGATGGGTGAAGTGTAGGGCAAACGCGATTCGAATATGCTATATGAAATATATATAAAATTCTTATCGAATCTTATGGCTAGCCAAATCGCAAGATAATAATTTCTGCTCGGCCAGCCTGAAAATAATTCGAGTTAACTTTTGACTTTATAGATCCCCTCCAGAAAGTAAATATTCCTTTGATAAATTAAATAGATTTTTTATTATCTGGGCTAATCCCTTGCGTTTTGATTTTTTGATTTATTAAATATTTGTAAAGTCTTTTGTTTTTGTTTTCTTTGTGAACAGACCCAGCCTGTAACAATATTGACAACAAGAAATCCAAGTATCTCCTGATAATTCCACTGTTTCTTCTGGACGAGCTTTCAAATTTCTGCTTTTTTGTACTAGATTCAAATAATGATCAGATAATTTGACTTTCATTCGTTTCTCGATATCTTTAGACATGACTCACGGCGTGCTAAATTGCCCGATTCTTGGTGTGCATACGATTTATATAAACACACATTTAAATAGAATATATTTATTACAGTTTGATTTATTAAATAACTAATAAATAGAACAAAATAGAATGTATAATAAATATTGAATATAGATAAAAATAAAAATAAAAAAAATAAAAAGTAAAAATAAAATATTTAACCAAATATTTTACTATACATGTTCAATGAAAATCCAACACATTTCATAAAAAAATTTCTGAGATAAATATTGGCTTTATTATAATAAATTGTATGTAAGTTTTGACAAACTTTTCTTGATTGTAACACATCAATTGAGTTTCGCTTAATCATTTCATCCTCGTAATCCTTTATACAATTCTTCCAGCCTATTTCGTCCCATTGTAACAAAGAGTTTGACAATTTTTCTGCATCTGCCAATGCATTATTTGTGCCCAAGCCAAGAACAGGGTTCATTGCGTGTATAGCATCACCTAAAAGTGTAACTCGATCAATTGTCCATCGTTCTATAGAATTTGGATCAATGTCACTCAATAGATATTTTCTTGGTGGGTTGTAGTTCATAAATGGATAATTTTCATCTACAACTTGTCCACCAACTCCGATTTTAGGTGGTTTTTCTGGTGCTGAATTAATGAATTCTTTTATCATCTCATTAAATTCCGAATCTCCGCGTTGCTCAACAATACTTTTCACCCAATTAAGCACTTTTTCAGGATCATTTACTTTGTCAATTTGCTCATCATTATCATATAATGATGGACAACTAAACAATATTGATAACCTATAATGAATTGCATCTTGACCTTCTTGAGAATCTTTTGTTTTGATTGGGATGAGTCTAAATAGGAAAATTATAAGATCTCCACGATTTCCTAATAATATTCTAAATACATTATTTGTTCCAGAATATTTTAAAAATCTTTCAACAAGATCTTTACTTGGCGCCAAATCAAATATTGTACCAGTTATTCCCAATCTATTTATTTCTAATGTTGGCAATTTCTGTTTACGAACTAAACAATTATTTTCAAATTAATATATTAATTAATTAATTTTTAAAGAAAAAAAATTATAGTTCTTTCTTTTTTACCTAGTGAATTAATCCCATCACACCCAACTAAAATATCACCAAATTCTCTTGTACCATCATCAAAAATAGCCCAAACTCCATTTTCTTCCAATTCATATCTAACAAACTTTTTATTCCATTGTATATCTAAACCTTGTAATAAAAAATATCTCATTTTATCTCTATAGGTGATAAAAGTTGGATATTTGCGATCTTTTAACTCGGCAAATTCATACAAATTCTTGAATTTTTTAATAGGCGTTGAAACCAATGTATTTCCATCTTGATCCATAACTGTATCATAATGTTCTTCACCTTCTACTGGATTAGGAATAGCTGTTTGCAATTGATCAGACAGTTCTTTTGGAAGGCAATTTAAAAGTGATTTTATACCAGATGGTTTTGCTGCAATATGGTATCCTTGCCAACGGTCTACAGCATACAAATAATAAGACATAATTCATTAATTGATTAATTAATTATTATGTTTGTTAATTTAGCCAACCTTTAGGCCCTGTATCTCTCTCGAATAGTTTAACATTGAATTTTGTTTTATTTTTACTATTATTTTTTAAAATTCCCTGGGCAAGCGTTAATCCGCCTACTCCACATCCAATAATTAACACGGTAGTCATTTTTTAATTATGTATTTTTTTTAAAAGCGTAAGCTTTTTATTTATAAATAAATTTATTTTTATTTAACGTATGAATTTTATTTCCATACATACTTGCATTGGAACCTCAGACAATTATAATTGAACTTGTATTAACTAAAGTGGGTAGTGATCTCGTTATGCAAAATTATTTTAATTATTATTTTTTAACAAAATGTATAATCCATTCCTTTTTCAAAAAATGTAAATCTTCAAAATATAATTCTTTAGATAACAATCGATTAAATAATTAATGTTAATGATACAATCACTGCATTATTACGTATTTGTAAGTTACGGAAAAGTGTATTTTTCCGTACCGATTCCGTACCTTCTATACACATTGATTTACTACTTTAAACTCTGTATGTCCATAACAGTACCTTTTCCATCTGTTATTTTTTGGGGTGTCAAATTGTACCAGTTTCCAGTGTCTATCTAATTCAAAGTTATAATTAATGGAATTTCTTTGAGTGTCGAAATTAACTTTTTATTATTATTATTTTTAAAGATGGTTTTTAAGTATGATAATAAACAACACCAAGATTATATACAAAAAATCATGCAAATATTACACTCATGTAATATTACATAATTTTTTAAATATTACATACAAATTATGTTAAAAATTTCCTGACGAGTATACGAAGAATTGGAAGAAAGGAATGATGGTGAGATAATTTTTATTCACGAGGATGATAATATACAAATTGGGATATATAAAAGTGAATTACTTGTTTAAATATTAATATTAATATTAAATTATGTAATAGCACATATTTCAACCAATTTGTTGATACTGCGCCCAAAATTGCGGATATTTTTGCGATAACTACAATAATTAATATTGTACTTTCATCAAAACAATTGGCTCAAGATGACAAAATGTACACTTTTTTTAGTCCAAGACGGTATTTAACATTTTTTTCATCCATTTAAATCTGAAGGAATACACCGCTGTTTAAAGTGTAGGGCAAATACAACTCTTATGTTTGGATATATTGTATGAAATAGATCTAGCATATCAAAAAGTTCTTGTCGAATCACGAGGGAAAAATTGCTAGCCCAATCTGCAAGATAGTAATTTCTACTTCGGCCAGTATGACTTTGGAAGTATCTCCTTACAGAAAGCAATGCTTCTTGACGAATTAAATAGGTTTTTATTATCTCGATATCCATTGATGCGTTTTACTTTTTTGATTTATTATATAATCTGTAAATTTGTTTATTTTTGTTAATAACGACAACGAGAGATTCAAGTACCTGCAACGAATAACAGCACCATTTCGAATTTATGAAATCAGGGAGTATCTGTCTTGGTTGGATCAGTTTAAATCTCCTGAAATTCCCATGCTTCTTTGCGGACGAGCTTTCAAGTTTCTTCTGTTTTTTGTACTAGATTTAGATAATGATCAGTTAATTTGACTTTCATTTGTGTCTTGAAAAATGACTCACGGTGTGCTGGATTGTCTAATTATTGCTGCGCATATGCAATTTGAACTTGTCAAGGAGTTTATTGTCTAAAAATGACTTAAACCTACCTACCACTCCCTGTCAAATATATTACCCTTCACCTTGACAAGTGCAATAGAACTTGTACATATTGTCTTAGGCGATCATATATTCATGTTGAAACAAAGGTTTCTGATCCAAACTGTTTTCTCAAAGCCCAAACTAGTTTGGGCAATTTGGGCTTCTCAACATTTTTTATAAG